TCCATCCGTCGGTCTGTGTTATCTGCCACCACTGTGCCCATCAGAGACTGTGATTTTTATTGTAGTTTTAACAGAGACGCTGGATTTTCAGATTTAATCTCATAGTGTAATCCCTTGAAGTCTTCCACTGTTAAGCATTGGTATCAATCATCAATCATGTTGATAGCTATTAAACCATAGTACCTTAAAGATTATGACATAGTAGATGCTTCTTTCTAAAACATGCTCTGAATTCTTTTGTTGAGAAGACACAGAGAGAGAGAGACGTGTGTGTGGTATGTGTATATATGCACAGAGAAGTTAAAAAGGACTGAGTCTCTAACTGTTCTTTATGTAGGAGAGACAGAAAAGCAGAAGGGGAGGTATTAACAGAGCAGTAGTGTGAGGAAAAAGTCTCAGCCCTACTCAGTATTCAGCACTTTGAGGAAAGAGTTTGCACCAGAATTCAGTGGACAATTAGATACAAGTTAATGGAAAGAGCTACTGACTCACATTTGTGGTAATTAAATGACATGAATCTGACAGACCGGCTAATGTGGATGGCAAAAGTTTCTTCTGTGATTCTATGATTCACTCTTTTAGCATATTTGCAGATTGGGGACTGACAGATTTGCTCATTCTTATCCCCACAGAATTTCTATTCAACATTTTAATAATTAGGCTGTGGGTAAAAGGTGAGTGAATGTCATCATTACTGAAAATAGGCACACACAAGGGACAGGACTATAGGCAAAGTTTCAACTGTAATACAAGAAGCTTGGACTGAACTTTTCCCAAATTTGTAGCTACTTGGGATGATGCTAATCTTGATTTTTGTAATTAAAACAAAGCAAAAACACATGAGCTTATAAAGATGTTTTGTACAGTTTAGCTGCTATGCAAGTACATATAGCCATGAACTGCCTAAGCTTGTAGAAAAGATTCAAATCAAAAGTCATACCAAAAGCAGAGAGGAGCAAGATGAGATTTAGTCCATCCGACTTTGCTCTTCCTCTTATTAGTTCTAGTCAAACTCACATCCATTCCTGAGTCATAGATAGTTGTAGAGCCTGCCTTCCCCCAGTCATCCACTCTGGCAGTGCAGGATCTTTTAATTGTGACCATAAGAAAATTTATTCTTCCTGACCTACCTTTAGACTATGTGCTCTGCTAAACACAATAAAACAAAGGGTAGTACTTTTTTGTGAATTTGGATGGATCTATGCTTTGACAATTGCTACTTATAGCTTTATCATTCTACAGGATACTTTAAGACACTAAGTTTCTGTTTACTGATAAAAACCTTCATATATAATATATACCTGTTTTTTGTAATTGTGGAATAATTCAGAAGGAAGTTCTATACTTGCTATGCTTAGTTATTTTCTTCAGATTTCTTACAAATGCTGAGGCCTGAAGAACTGGCCCTGAGCCAAAGTTGACCTATAGGTAGACCCTCCAACCTAATATTATATTTAGCCTAGTATTGCATTTAGCCATATATTTGCTTATTAACCAAGATTCTGCATAATCCTTAGTAATGCTTGAAGAATACACATTCATGTTTGTTAGCACAGCATATTATTAATAATTAGTAAGGTTTGTATGTGTTATAAATATGACTTTTCAGCCAAGGCCACGAAAACAGTAGGCCTCACATGGTTGCAGCTGGTTCATATTTGAGATATCAATGTAGCCATAATTCTGTATTTAGAGACCAGTCAAGGCCATGGGGCATTTGATAATAGTCAGTCCAAACTGACTCCCTTGGTCTCCCTCTGGGCATTGGCCAGGCCTCAGGGGAAAACTAAGGAGAAGAATGAAGACAGACTGTTTTTCCACACCAATCGAGTGATGGTGTAACATGGTTGGTTTAACACTATGTTAACTGGACCCTCTCTCAGCAAAGATGGAGGCTTCCCCTATGGGTGGACACACCACACAGGATTTCTCAGTTACCAGGAAGAGGTTCTACAGTCCTTCACTGTGATCGGGGCCTTCCCAGCTGAAGTGCTGTATGAATGATGATAATTACTTAGGGTAACTGATGATGTATCTCTCTCTTAATCACTATAAGACTTTCTTTGTAGTAATGATTAGATGCGTTACTAAGTGTATCCTTTCATAAGCCACTGCTTCTTTTGTAATTCTTTACTGGTTTGCACTATAATAAACTTATACACTTATTCTTTAAAGTTGGTGACTGTGTTCCTTGAACCCATCCTCATTGCCCAAGGTGGGGTGGGGACAAAACAGATTGGCAAAACACAAATGTCTGATCAAAATGTCTAAATTTTTCTGGAATTTTCACATCATGTAACTCCTCCAAAAATTTTTAGGTGCTAGGAGTATTTGCAAAAATTCTATTTCAGAGAATAGGACTCGCATCAGTTAATGTCTACAGAACTCAAATACATTCATTTAAAAACCACTGCCAAATTATTTGTGGAATAGAAATGCACAATAGCTATAGAATTTTTAAGCTAACCTGTAGATCTTAAAGGATTAATAAAATTTGTCTATAGATTTCAATGGATTTGAAGTATTTATCCTGTCAACATTTTCCGTAGTAACATTTTCTGTAAGGGAAGCATTTTGCAGACTCTCAATTTTAAAATATTAAAGATCAAAGTTATCCTATCTATTTAAAGTATTAGCACATATTTTTTGTGGGTTTTTTTGGGGGGATGAGTGAGTGATGGTTTTATTTTATTGCTTCCTGGACTGGATTCAGTCAGTTTTAAATGTGATTTACATGGGAGTTTTTTGTTTTGGTTTGGTTTTTTTTTCCTACTTAGTGCTACTTTTGGGATTGATACTGACTGCTTAGATGACTCTGAAGCTAGTTAGAAAATACCTAAATATTAAATAGATGCATGAGTGCATCTTGGGAAGGTGGTATTATGGATGGAGAGCTGTCATCACATCCTTTTCAATTACTTTATCATGTGCTCCTGTGGTGTACACCTGTGGCTTGTTGGCAAGGCATTTAATTCAAAGGACTATTGAACACCATGCATTTTCATACAGAATCAGTGCAGAGTTATTTAACACAGGTGTTTCTGTAAAATTGGGATACATGGGAAGATTCACAGTGTTCGGTAGCCTTCAAAATTACACCCACCACCTGTGTGGTGAAGTAGTTTAGAAATAATACCTCACTGATGTCAGTAATAACCTCTGTTGTATTACAGTTAGGCATCTGCATGCATTTATGCTGAACCATGGTTCAAGCATACGACGATGAAATTTCTCAGGTATTTAAATGTTACCAACATTTCCAAATATTCATTCTCTTAAAGGCACAGTACCTACATGAGTCTTTTTTTTTTAAACAGGATGTTACCAATCCTCCTGGCTGTGGACTTTAAGAAGTCAAGCAAATTTTACCACATTCAAGAAATATTGTATCGTGAAACATTGGGATGGCTTTAATTCTCTATAAGAATAAACATTTTCACATGTATATAATTTTAGATTATAAAGGTACCAGCAGTGCTGAGACTGAAGGTGCTCATGTCACTTTTTTTTAATGTTTTGAGGGGGTTTTGTTTGTTTTTTTTAACATAAGGGCAAGACTCTTTCCACTTCCGTGAAATGTTTATATTTGAAATGCCAACAGGGGTTCTATCCAGAGTCAGCTTCACAAAGGGGAAAACAAGTGCTTCCCCTGAGTTCCACCCAGCACTGTAGAGTGACCACTTGAGCTGGCTGGCAGAATCTGTGAGAAACAGGATCCTGATGTATCATTGCTAGAGTTGGTAACTCACATCTCACCTGCAGGGCAGTTAGCCACAGGGAACTATGTACTTTCATAGGCCCTTTGTGGGATGATGGATAGAGTTAAAGCTAGAGGCGATTCAGAATTTTAAAGTAAAAAGCAGCTGCAACTCCCAGGATGGACTGAAGTCGACATGCTCCCCAGTACAATGATAAACATCTGCTCAGAGAAACAGAATGGACTGCAGAAAGAAATGAAGATTACGTGCCCCCCTCCATTCTAATCCCAGCAGAATGGGAGAATATTGTGGTCCTGAGACCATACAGTACCTGTCTGACAAGGGAGAATCAAGATGTTCTCCTGATGAAGCCAACAACCATGTTGAACCCCCTCCTCAGGTGCCAAACCATGACCACCACCACCCCCCATTAAATGCACCAATCATAAATAAAATATATTTATGACTAGAGCCACTCAAACTTCATCCAAACATAAAGAAAATAGAATAAAAGTAAATTGGGAATGAGGGGAAAGTGGGAGGAGACTTCCACTGGAACTGCTAGGATCAGTTGACAGGCTGAGTCCATCTTTTCCCCTCCCAGAGGGATGCCTTGGGTGAGAAATATACTCTCCACATGTTGAATGCTGCTTTTAGAACTAGAGCTTTTGCTTGTGCTTACCGCATAGCATATTAGTAGATTGCTTCATATTAGAGCTTGTACTTGCTTAATACATGTATCAGTATAATGCTTTAAAGCATATTTTTGCAGTGGACACTATCACTGACAACCTTCGAACCTTATTAATCTGTTATAAATTGTATTAATAAAAAGTGTTATTCTGTAAACTGTTCAGTGAGTCCTTGCAGTCATTGGCAGCGGATAACACCAGGTGCAGTACCCGCTGAGAGGTCTTGGCTCTGTTGAGCTCCCCCTAATGAGGGAGGTCGAGGTACCCTGCAATCTTGTAAATCTGTTGGTGAAGGGTCTCACTTGGGAGACTGTCAGGCACCAGGGGATGCCTGACTCTCCTGGGGATGCCAACAGACAAAATCTAAACTGCCACCTTTCACATGACACCACTGCTTTGTAGAAGGTGCTCCAGGGAAGCTACACCTTGCTTCTGAGTAATGTGATAGATTCTAGTACCCAGGTGTTTGGAAACATATTTAACTTGAGCTTTTCCTTGTCTCAGTTATGTAGCTTTTGCTAGATGTTAACAATGGAAGAGATAGCCTGAATTATGAGTTCCGGTACATACCACTCAGTTACTGGCAATTGTTTTTTGTCAGTCTTCACAGTATCTGAATGGATTTTGGAGGGAGCAGTAAAACTAACAGCTGATAAACCACATATATAACCACAGTGGTGTTAAGTCATTCAAAGGGAAGTTTGCACGTATATCCTTTTTAGGAAAGGTTGGGGGTTTTTTTTGTTTTGTTTTGTTTTTTGTTTTTTTGGTTTTTTTGTTTTGTTTTGGGGTTTTTTTTGGTTGGTTGGTTGGGTTTTTTTACTTTTTCTTTTTTACACTTTTTTTTAACCTTAGTCTTATTTTTAGAAATAACTAAAGTATCCCCAAAACTTTCACCAAAGGTTGAAACGTTGGAGGTTTGGCAAATTTTATTTTGCTAAGCAAAACGCCATGAGAAATGTCAGGCAATCATAAGAGGTGGTGCTAGCTGATTTGTTCCAGTTTTACTTCTGTTTCATAATAGTGTAACTATTGATTTCTCTATAGCTAACCCAGTAGCCAAATTAAATTAGCTGCAATTAAAATGAAAGCAAAATTAAAAAAAAAGGATGAAAAAAGGAAATCAAAGGACTGTGAAGAGCTAAAATTTAAAAGAGTTGCAGAGAATCTGGTCCAATGTGAGAGCTGATATTTCAAGGACTATCATAGCAAGGATGGCAGAAGGCCAACATGGATCAGCAAGTAACTTCTGATTGAGCCTAACTAGATAAAGGAAGAACACAAAAGCTGGAAGCAGGGATAGGGTAGCTGGTAGGAATACAGAAGCATTGCCTAAGCATGCAGAGATGGAGCTAGGAAAGCCAAAGCTCAGCTGGAATTGGAACTTGTGAGGGATGTGAAGGACAGCCAGGAAGGCTTCTATATGCACATTGGCATAAAAGGAAGGTGAAAGAAATGTGGGACAGCTTCTCGGTGGGGCTGGAAAGATAGTGACAAATGACATGGAGAAAGCCAAGGTACCCAATACTATTTTAACTCATTTTTTTCACTGGTTAGATTTGCCCACATGCCTTCTAAGTCCTCAGGCCTGTTAGCAGAGTCTGTGGGAGAACAGTATTACCAACAATAGAGGTAAGATCAAGTGAAGATGTACTTAAGCCATAAGACAAACACAAGGTCAGGGGGACACAAGGGTGCTGGGGGACTTAGCTGCTGTTGTTGTGAGGCTGCTGATAATTTGAAAAAGAGAAACAATACCCCATCTTGAAGATGAGGAAGAAGGAAGATCCACAAAACAACAGACCTGTCAGCCTCAGCTCACGTCCGACGAAGTCTTCACTAACAAACTGGATGCTTATGCAGAGTACACTTCCCATACATTTCTGGACAATAGTGGCCTGAAGAAAGGCTGGAAGATGGGCGTGCTGTTCAAGGGACAACACAATCCAGAGAAAAGGGATGAAAAGAACTGAATGAAGTTCAGCTTTGGTAAATATAAGTTTCTGCACCTGGGATGGACTAAACTCATGCAAGACTGCAGTCTTAGTGTCAGCTGGCTAGAATACAACTTCACAGAATGCAGGACCCGGGTTTCTAGGTGAAAAACCAGATGAACTGGAGGAGTCAGCAGTGCACCATTGCATCAATGAAGGCCACCCTCATATTTGACTAGATTAGAAATAGGGCAGCCAACAGTTCAAGCAGTAAATTTTGTGCCCCACTTAACTCTTATGTGATCAAAGTATTGTATTCAGCTTGGGGGTCTTTGATACAAAACACTGACTTAGCACTGGAACAGTATAGAAAGATGGACCCAGGCTGTTATCAAAGGTGCACACTGGAAGAAGGAGAAGCAATGGACAAAAACAGGATAATTCTAACTAGATACAAGGGAAGCATTTTCATCATAAAAGTGGTCATTCAGGTAGAGCAGATGCCTGGAGAATATGTGGGATTTCTTCTCTTGAAGATATTTTAAACTCAACTGGACACTATCATGAGCAACCTGATCATAGTGTGGTGGGGTAAGAAGTTGGGTTAAATGGTCTTTGGAAGTCCCTCCCAACCTATGTTTTCCTGTTATCATATAGAAATGCTTAAGACAAACTTTATATTCTAAGGAAAACAGTCACAGTGGCAATTGTGCTGTAGGGTGTAGATGTACTTTAATTCTGTTATAAAATTTATCTACTCTATATTTTACAGTTAACAGATTATATAACATAATTCTCTTGAGCAGAATGCATCTCTTTAACTCCTAGATACCTAGATAGCATGAAACCTTTATGACATTAAGGTCTGCTGAACTCTTCCAGAATGCTGACCATCTAGAAGCTAGTGTCTGTATAGAATATATTTGTTCAAATACCCTGTGGAGACAATATATCTATCTAGTCTTAAATGATGTTTTACAAAAAAAAAATTTACAAGCAGAAGGCATAGCAAGAAAGTAGGGTGATAAAAAAATCTAAAACACAGAGCCATTGATGAAAGTGTTAAACTAAAAAAGAAAAAAAACCCCACCTACAACATTGCAATAAAACAGAAACAAAACCAAAAACAAACAAAAAAAAGAAAAACACAGCAAAAAACTAAGCCAATGCCAAACACCTTCCTTGACCTTTTGGAGCAGAAAGAGAAAAACCCAAGGAGTATATTTTTCATGGAAATGAAAATTATTGCAGAACATTTATTCACATATTTGAGCATAGTCCTCTAAGATCAGAATTAATCTTGATGTAGTTCGTCTGAAGGCCCTAAAGTTGCATCAAGGAACAATAGGTACGTTCTTCCGGCACACCATCCAGTCGTTACTTTATTAATTTGTTCAGCCTGTTAAAAAAAGAAACAATTCTGACTCCAGAGCCTCCTCTAGTGTCCTAAAAATGAAAACTAGTCATGTATACTCAAATCAAAGCAAAGTAAAGCAAAGTACAGAATCACTGATGAGTCTTGCCAAGGAGGTATTCTTAAGCCTACACCTTTTACTTCCTTCTTCTTAATTTTCATGGTGCAAAATGAAAATTTCCAACTGCTTTCACATCCCCATGTGTTTTCTCGTGTTTTTGACTGGTAAAAGATGTAATAGCTCAGCCCTGCTTTTTCACAAATATTAGCAACAGTGTTTGAAAATACAAGAAGGAAACAAGCAGATCCCCCACTCCAGTTTTCTGTCTCTTAACACTTAGCTAGTTACTTTTATCTTGTTCATGTCCATGCATCAAAATTGAAGAAGTCAATTATTAAGACAGTCAATAGTTATACCCAAGCCCATTTGGAAAGCTGATACTGTAGCATTTTAATGACACCCTATGTTTTTAGGCAATTATTTTAATGAATATTCTGTCTGATTTTGCTAAATACCGTGCTCCAATATTTCCTTCATTTTTCATTACATACCTCATCAGTGTTTTGAATATTTCTTTTCCAGTAAGTTGTGTGTGCAGTGCCAACAGTATTGAATCAATACATCATTTTATGACCATACACTTTTTACTACCAACTGTAAATCTAGTGGTTTTTTTAAAATGTATGACTTCAGTTGAAAAGCACTCAAATTTTCTTAGGTCAGCATTAAGTTATATATATATGTAATTCATAAGGAATCAACATGAAAATTATGTTCCTTGCATGCTCACTTTTAGTCCTCGTAATAAAAGACAGAAAATATGAAAGACTATGTTTCTTAGAAAATAAGGAGAGTTCACAGAGTGCCATTCATGTTATGCAGTTTTGATTAATTCATTTGAATGAAGACTTACTTAAAAGCCACCAAAATTGATAAAAATACTTTTTTTTACATTCTTTAATTTCAGTTTTATACATCACAATAGATGTTGGTTTGGACTCCTATATATAACATAAATATAACATTTACTCATAATATAACATTTAAATATAACATTTTACTCATCTAGGAATTATAATTCTGCATTAATTTGAATTTAGAAGAAATTAACCCCCTCCCCAAATCCCAAATCCAACTAAGAAATAACATAATTATAGAGGTATTCTCTCTTACTGTACAGTGGAGAAATCAATACGAATACTGCTGAAGTATTTTCAGCCAAACTAAAGCAGGAGTAACACCATGTAACACGTGTAATTATACAATCATAGTTGCATATTTCTCATGGCAAATCTACAACTTTCCAAAGCAAGAATTTGAAGAGGTTTAAGTAATTTTACTTCACCTTACATGCTGATAATAATGAAACTAAATGTTTACTTTTCATCTACTTCCACATAAAAACTGATTCCCTAAGTCAGAGTTCATAAGAAATAACAAGTATATCTTATTTTTTTCCCCCAGGGAAAAGAAGGGAGGAAGAAGAATATTCATTATCAACTGCAGCTTTGATATTGAAAGTCATGTGAACTGAAATTATTTCATGGTTAATGAAATGTGTAGTCAAGGTCAGAGTAATGCTGTCATTAGAGTTTTAACTATGAGGAATTTACTCTTCTTTGTCATCTCCTCCCAAAAGTCAGAAACAGTCTTACATTACCTTGAAGTAACAATGGTGTTACCTTTAAAACAAGAAACTCAAATGTTGTCTGTTCTGTCTGAATTTTAGGCCAGGTGGCCAAAAAGATAATGTGACAACTTTAGGAAAGTCATGTTTTCTGAACTAATTCATTGACTCTTCCTTAAAAGCTGACAAGTTAAACATGAACAATACCGAAAAACAGAAAGGAGAGACAATATTTTTATGCTACATGGTGTCATATAAGAAAGAAGGTTCAGGTTCACAACCTTAAATCCTGATATGTCTGGGGAAGGGTGAGGTTTTAAACTTTAGGAAAGATTCTCAGACCCATGACAGAGTCATGATAACTTACACCTCCCTCAGAGAGAAGTTGGGGTAACTAAGAAATGTCAAGCAGTTTCATAGTCATAGTCTGTCTCTTTTATAAATTCTAAATCAGGTGTTCTCTTTGAATGTCTAATGCTTTCCAAAATCTGCTGGAACTTTTAAGTATACTTTATAAATTTTTAAGCACTGTGTAAAACTTTCCATGACAGCTGGAAAATAAAGAATCAGCCTTTGCTTATGATATTAAGGTAGCAATTTTCCATCAGAACAAATTCATCAGAATTTATATGAGGCAAGGAAATAAGTCTTCTCTGATACCTCTCAGCAAATTCAGATACAAAATTGATATTTATATAAATATGGCTATTGATTAAAATCATGTTTTCATATTTTTGTTTCTCTTTTATCTCAAAAATGGCTTGCAAAAAGATAATCAGATTTTCTCTCCAGGATAAAATCTATTATTTGTTACATTGTGTATTATCATGCCATTCATTTCAATGAGTAATTTTTGGCTGATTTTTGATGTTTTATTGCAGAATTAAATCTTTAATAGTGGAATAAGGAAAAGAAATAATGAGTAGCAAACTGCGTATTTACAGCATGGAATTTATGAAAGTTTGGAGACCTAATAGTAACATTCAACTTGAGAACACTAGGTGATTAAAGGTGGATCCAAACCAATGCATTAGTCAAGGTATGCAAATCAAGAGAAATGGATCTGAAAATTGTTCTGCCATTTCTGTTGTTTACCAGTTATAAAATAAACAGAATAATGACCTAATATATGTAGTACGCACATCTCTTACTGTGCCTGAGAATTGAAAATCAAAAAACCACCACAACTCTTATCAGAGTCGATATGAAAAAGACTGGTTCATCTATTATGTCTTGGTAGATAATGATAAATTCAATGACCACTATGAACTTTCTTCTGCAGACTTGTCATCACCCACATTGCTCCTACTTTTAACAGTGGAATATGCAGTAAAGTCAATCCATTTATTTCCACAGCTTTTTTCCCAGCCTATTGCGGTGAACACAAATCATTAAAGTCAAGTTTTTCTGAGAACTTTCAATGTCTTCACTTTATTCCATTTTCCCCTCTCTCTTCCTTGCTTTTCTTTTGTTACTTGATGGAAAATTACATATTTACTGAGGTTGTATTCCTAGAATTTCTGTGTTTAGGAGAGCAAAAATGGTAGCAATATACACTGGAGTAATGAAGCCCGTATTTATTGCTGGGGAGGTAAAAGAGAGGAAGGGCATGAGCGTGAAATGTTCTGATATGTTTGTGGCAACTACAATCTGCTCTGCACTGTGGTCATCTACCCCACTAAAAGAGCTCGTGGAAATGTAGTCAGACAGATACTGGATTGGAAGGAAGGGGTAAGGAATAAGCTACTGGAGGCAAAATATTTTCACTTAAATATCAACAGAAAATTTAAAATAGAATAGACTATTTCAGTTGAAAAAGACCTACACTGAACATCTAGTCTTTTGCATATGCAGCAAATGCAACCTCTCCACTCAAGAAGAGATCAAGTAATTTTAAAGCGAGCGTGTAAGTAAAAAAGGCACATTTTCCTTTGTTTGGCTTCCAACAGAAAATGAATTTGGTTTCCAGTGCTTACATTCTGGCTGGGCGATCAGTAGTAGACACCCACCACACCTCCTTTGTTTCCCATCCCCCTAATTCTCACTCAGAGGATCTCAACCCCATCATCACTAACTGTAAAGGCTATGTAATCAAACCTCTCCCTTAACTATGGTGTGATACCTCCACCTCACCTGCCCTGCCTATCCCTCCTGAACAGCCCGTAGCCCTCCATCTCAGCATTCCAATTGTGGGACTCATTCCACCAAGTTTCAGTAATGCCAATGATATTATAGTTCTGGAAGCTCACCAATGCTTACAATTCATCCTGTATGTTTCTCATGGTGCATGTGTTGGTGTACAAGTATTTCAGATATGCTCCTGAGCCCTCTGTGCTCCCAAAAGCAGTGTGAATGCTCCCAGTGGCATTGACACCCCCGGGCAATGCAATGGCAGCCCTTGGCCTACCTACTGCAATCCTCAGTATCTAGCTGAAACCCCACTCGATCAGCCCTGACAGCTTATGCCCAAAGATCCGTTTTACTCACCAGGACAGGTGGATCCTGTCAAACTCCAGGCATAACTTATCCTTTGAAGTCTCTTCAGTGGTTTAAAAATCCAATGTTTTGGTGGAGATAAATATAATATCAGCCACCATAGTAATGGATGATGATGACTTCAGCTTCCTCACACAAAGGTAATACTTCAGCAGATAGGACTATTATAGCTGGAAAAGATAGGCAATGATGCTTTTCATTTCAGATGATATGCTGGGCTGAGACAGTGTTAACAGCCTTTTGCATTTGACAAAGTAGGGAAATTAAGCTACATTATCTAACTAAAACTACATTTTCTGTAGTTATGAAATCCTGTCACCTGCAGAGATACAGGCTATTTGCACTGTCTTAAAGTGCTGTCCAAACTTTGGGCTTTTCATGGTGGAGAGGACAGATTATTAAATAATTAGATTTTGCAAATATTCTTGTATGTGAACTGAAAGAAAGGAGCCATCCTCACATTGCCCATTTACAGGAAAGGTCAGCTGAAGTTTGCATCTGGTGTTTGAGTAGTACTTGGCATTCTTTTCTTACCCTCTCTCTGCTCCATAAATCATCGCACACAGAAAGGTCAGGAACAGAGAGAAGGTAAGATACCAGCTAAATAAGGAGTAAAAAGTTCCTCTCCTTCTGGAAATCGTCAGAGCTGAAAGGGGATTTCTAGAATCCTTTTGGGATAGGAAAGAAGACCTGAGTAGTTGAAATGTTTGGATTACACACTGTACAATTCAACTGCTTGGATTCAGCTCATACTCTTGAATAAATAAAGGAATTAACTTTGTGTAAATCTGTCCAAAGCCAGAGAATAGTTACAGCTAGCATTTTTTCTTTTAATCTGTGCTTATTTCTACTTACAGTGTGTAGTTTTTCCATTCCCACACTCTTTTCCTTTGTCCAACCTAACTTTTACTTGTGTTCTTGAATATGGGAAAGGACAGAGGAGAACTAAAAAGAGGAAAAATTTTGCCATTTTCTTCACCTGTCACAATTTTAAATCTTATATTTTTAGACTTGTACTTTCTTCAAAAAGGTTGAGACAAAATTAACTTCTAAATTTTACATCACATAGCAACAGGCTGCCTTCAGAAAAAAAAATGGTAAAGAAAAAGAGATTTTCTTTGTTTGTCTCCCTACTTGTTTTGGTTGGATATTTCAGATTACTGAAGATTTTACTAAATAATGTTGTTGGACGGTTTGAAGCAGAAGCTGATACCAAACTCAGGATGATTTCACTGAAGCTATGAGCCTGAAACATTTTGCTCATACAAACTAGTTGTCTTCCTATATATTTTTGTAGTGTTGTATGGAATCTGGCTGATTTCCTGACCTTTTACAGACATTTGTACAGTTCTATGAATAATACCAAAGTGGTCAAACAAGAGCAACTTTAAAGAAATTATTATGTCTAATTCATGCCTATTTGAAAACAAAAAAAAAGAATGAGCTGTCTTACATGCACAGCCTTTTCACAGTGACTTTTATGGGCAATCTAGCTCATATCCAGCAAATACCAGTGTAACCTTGACTAGGTCTTCATAAGCTTAAGTACAGGGACTTGCAATTCTTGATCATTCCATTCATGGTTTTATACCTTTTTGTCATGAAATATCCTTAGCCCTGTTCAAGGAATTTACGTGGTAAAGGAAGAAGACATTTTTAACATGGCTAGACTGTGTCTGATGGTAAGGTTGAGAGTAATGAAAGACATCTCTGTTCATATCACTATGACAAATGCCCTACCCTATTGTTTTGGAAAAAATCTGAAACACATGTGAGAGGTGTGGACCTGGTGAGAAGCCCAGGATGACTTTTATTTGCAAATATGGCAGAAAATTGTTTTTTCTTCCATACAACTTACAATAATGATAAAATAATATGAATGTTTATTAACATCGCACCTTTTTTTTTGACTTCAACAAAATACTTACAGTTGCTTCAGAATATAAATAGCCTATAAGAGTCCAAATTTGGAATCTGTTACATTGAGTGCTGAACAAATATGCAATGTGAAGGGAACACTGAAAATACAGAAAACAAATGTTTCTAATATAAAATTTTAAGACCTTCTTTCCAGAATGAGACCTGTAGAGTTGTTCACACAGAAGTTGTCCAATTGTGTAAGTTCTTATAGAAACCATGCATGCAGATTAAGTACTTGGAATGTATACATGCCCAGATTGGTAAAATATGTTGAGACATGTTCTAGATAAGTTTAAAATTGGTACTGATGAACACAGATTTTTTCAGAAGATTTAATTGGCTTTGTAAGTTATGTTCCCTGACCTTGTCCCTAGAAGGACTTCCTTAAAGAACAGCAAAGGCTTGTGAAGAAACAAGGTTTAATTAGAACATTTGCCGAAATACTTAAATTCTTACATTGAGAGAACTCATAACAAGTAGCTGAGGCAGGGCAAAAAATCTGGAAAGGAAAACGTACAAACCACTCTTTTCTTTCCTGCTTTCTTCTTCAAAGTCATGTTCTTACTTTCAGACTTAATAACAAGCAATTCTAGATTACAACAAACTTTCTCAGTGCTCTCTACTCCCAGAAAAAAGCTTTTTCATCCCCTCCAAGATGCAGTTGTGATCCCCTTGCCAAGGTCCTTGTCTGTAAGAACCAGGCTCCTAGGTCCTAGATGAGATTATTTCTGCTTAACACTCCTCGAAGCCGGAACGTCCTCTCCCAGAGGGGCATTTGCCTTTCCTCTCATTGTCAGCAGCATCTCTTCTTCCCTCCTATCAATACTCTGTTGGGAACAAATTGAGAATAAAGAAATAAATCCACTAACACCTTCCACTGTAGACACAAACATATTAAGAAAAGTATTTCTTTACTTCCTTCTGGAACATAAACTTGGGAGAGTGATTTAATGTGCACAGTTTAACTTTTCTTAGGCAAGCAACCCTTTCTTAAAGGCATGTGAAACCCAAACTCAAATGAACTTTCCCTTGTGAGTAGTCTTCTTTAACAGGCTGAGAAAAAGTTAACATACTTAGCGAATATCATGATGAAATTAGGTTTGACACTCATATTTATACTACGTGTTAGGTGAGGAAGAATTCTGGTTCTGTTACAACATTCAGACAGAGGAACAAATCTACTAATAATTTCTTTCAAGCACCTTTCTTCTTCCTCTCAAGCAAAAAAGTTGCAGAGACACTGAAGTAGTCACAATGCTGGTCTGGGGATTTTCTGTTTGTTGGTTTGTTTGTTTGTTTCACTGGCAAGAAATTATTTATCTGCTAAATTATAGTGCAGAATATAAAACAGTACAAAAATTTTAGAGAAGCACAGATGTCAGTGCTGTAGGGCAAGTATAGTGATTATCAGACGCTCAGCTAAATGATTGAGGGTATTTTAAACAGTCATTCAGCTAAAAAGAAAAATAAATCCAAATTATAGTCTTTATATTTTGACTGGAGAAATTAGAAGCAGCTAAGGATAAAAGTTGGAAAGAAGACTTGCAGTTCCTACGTTCAATATTGTTTTTAAATTTTCCCCTCTTAAAGCTGTAAAATATGAAAAAATGGTAAACCTAATCCTTTCAATCAGTAAAGTGTGTGTGACTGAATTTCTTGGGGGGGGGAAGAGGATGCAACAATTAGGCAACTCATTTTAACCTCTTAAGCTAAGATCATTTATGCAAAACCATTGCCTGAAATGAATTTTCAAGGCTGACTATTTGAAGATTAGCAGTAGTTTAAAAATGACAGAGCCTTTGCTGCACAGAGCACATGAATGATGATATGAATAAAGGCAGGAAAAACTCAGAGCATTCAAAGACATTTTAAACCAAAACAGAGGAAACAACAGCTTGAAAGGACAGAAGTGCATTTTGATGGGTATTACTTAACACGTTTGCACTTTTTCTTTTTTTTTTTTACAGTTCAGTGTCTTACTCTTCCTGTGCTGTTGATGACAGACCATAAAGCCAGCTCAGAAGTATGGCACAGCTCACAGTAGCCTGACTTGAAACCCTAAGCTTCATAAGGGCTAACACTGAATCAATAAATCGATCACCCCCTTCTGGTTTCTTTGCACACTCACATATCTTGCTACAAATAAAGATCTAGTATGGGAGAAAATGTTCTGTTTTCCATTTCATTACCTCATTTGTTCCAGGTGGTACAGGTAAACTATTACACAATTGACAATCTCCTACACTTTTGCATGGTAAAAGGGACACTTACGTTAATGCACACATACTTGTACCGACCAGATTTCATCTCTATGACTTTGTCATGGCAGGGCTTCTCCAAGATCAGCTTTGTCAAATGAAGGGATAATTAGGAAATAACAGTGTTTATAACAGTGTTTATATAGATCAGTGGTATTTTCTTATACATTTTAGAGGGGAATTCAACCAAGTTTCCCTTCAGAACAATATGAAAATTGCTGGGTTTACAGTAGGCTCCCTTCAAACACAGTAGAATTACAGTTAAAGAAATTTTGAATGCTAAATTTCATTTTTTTATTAATTTTATTTACTTACTTTAAAATATATTCTTGGAAATATAAGAAAATATTATTGTTTGGTTTAGGTTTGGTTTTTGCATTTTAAAATAGAGAAGATAAATTAATGACTGTTCTATTCATGCTGTTTCTCTTTGATCTTCTACTTTAACTTCTTGTAGCAAAAAAAAAAAGAAAAAAAACCACTAGGGTGTTCCCATGGGGTACAAAAGCTTGAAAAGAAACAACAACACCTTGGTAATAAAAAAATTTCAAAGGATCATATTTCAAGTTGTGGGAGTGCAAGGAACACCATTTCTTATATAAAATGCACATCACCTCCTGTGAACAGCAGCTCCGGAGACTGCGTATGTCCTTCATAGGAATTATCTAGCAGATACAAACGAAGGCAGTTTTGATAACTAACCTAATAAATTCCAAAGAGTAGGGGGGGGCAGTTTAAACTGACATTTTAAGATTTCATGACGAAGGGTAACAGGTAAAAGAAGGAGGAATGTCAGTTTTGCTACAGAAAGAAACTTAATTTCCTTAGTTTGGATGAATTCCAAGCAAAGCTAAAGCATTTTTACAATCCTTCTATTTCTTACACATAGCAAACAGTTTGCTTCTGTTTACTTAGTCACATTGAGATGAGAAAAAATCCAGAGGCTTACAAGACAACAGCTGTCTGCTTTTCAAATACTGGTTCAGCTCTTTGATGAAGGGTAGTGTTGTTTTCTTCTGTGCATTGCAGGTTAAAATGAATCAGGCTGTTAGCAGGACATAATTTTTCTAGGAATGGTGCTTTCGGTTTGAATTAAAAGGTACATAAAAATGCGTAGTTCATTTAATTTATTTTTACCATTTCCCAAATAGTTTGCTATTTAGTCTAAATCGGGTCATTAGTCCAGGGAGTCAATATGATTCTTCAAAATTATAAGTAATTGAGTCAATTTATGTCAGGTTAAGGTCTCTTTTAATTTCCCATCTTCATATATTTTAAAGGCCTGATGCTCTGAATCATTACTTTCATCATTTGTCATATACACCCAAGTGTGTAGTCCTGACACAGATGATCTTAATTCATGCCAGAATTTCCAGTTACTTCATTAAGATTACTTGACCAATTAAGAGTTACTTACATGAATAGGGCTTGTAAGACCAGCTTGTGTCGCTGTCATTTGCCTCCCTGTTTCTTCCTTCTACACTCTTTGTCTTCCTTATCCACAAGAAATTCTTAGTCAACATAGAAATGTTCTTTGCAGCACTGTTTACTCATCTCTACAGCCTAGGCGTAAGGAAGAGCTATGAGGGTGATAGAAGACTAGCACAGCTTACCTGGAAAAGTTGTGGATGCCCCCTCCGTGGAAGTGTTCAAGGCTGGGTTGTATGGGGCTTTGAGCAAGCTGGTCTAGTGAGAGGTGTCCCTGCACTCAGAGGAGGGGTTGGAACTAGATGATCTTTAAGGTCCCTTCCAAGCAAAACCATTCTGATTCTGTGATTCTTATTTGTGCAGCTCAGGACCTGTGCAACAGTAAGCTTAAATGAGACTATCCTGTCATTAGCATAGAATATAGTACTTAATCCCTGCAAAAATTAGGTGAAGAGAGACCAACCAACCTGTCCAAACTGGACCATGCTTGTGATCCTACAGAAAATCTTATGTATCACCATTCAAATGATACCTTGAAGTATGGAAGTAACTGCAGCTCCAACAAATCTTATTGCCAAAAAGGCTAGGCATCCAACATACAGACCTACTTCTTTATGGTTTCTCTGGGGTTTTCTGGAAAAACAATGTCAATAGGGCAGTGCATATCCCATACTTACCCTCTCCTCTGCTGCAAGGAAAGACTATGCTCAGCTGAGTTGCTGTGGACACTTTATATCTCAAAGGTTGGTGTTAGATATTTTTGTTGCAGTAAGAGTGGGGGTGACAGGTGGGGTAAAGTTTTCAATAGCAGAGTTTGGAAGTACCATCATTCTGTTTTGACTTGTATAACAGATGCACCTTTCATCTGTAAGAAATGCCAGTATCAAATATATATACTTACATATACACTAACCTACATAGATATTGGCATATATATTGATGGTATAAATTCAAGGAAGGTGCTTGTACTACACAAAACCCCATAAATAAGAAGTTAGGTAAAAAATACTGCATTTAGTTCTTTGTACGATTCATCAACAATTGATTTCTTTGTTAGGGAATGGTGAATCTGAGTCAGTCATTTGTACACTTAGGAAGGCTATATGAATTTGAACCGGTGCTAGGAATTGTACTTTTGGAGAATATGGACACTGAAGTTCAGCAACCACGATTTTTTTAAAATTAAATGAAGAGAAAAAGTAAATCACAGTACAGATTCAGCAGTCTCCTCAGGAAGTCTGTTAATGACATCCTCAGAACACATACATCTCTTTTTTGTAGACCAGCAGGTGTGAAGGACATGTTGTGGAGCTCACTTATACAACAGCATTTATATCTAAAACTGCTGGGTAGACTGGATTGATGCGAAGAAAAAGACTTTCTGTGCTCTTCTAATATCATTATCTTTTCTGATTAGGTTATCATGCAAATATTATCAAAGACTCACAGCTTATCTGTAGTATTGACATTCCCAACATTGACATTCTCAGGTCAATATACTAAAATTATAATACACTTCCTGTGAGTTAAGAATGAAATTAACATACTTTTTATACATAAAACCTCAAAAAACAACAAAAAAAAGATATAAAACCTAACCCTTCAAAAAAGCACTACTTGAAAGCAAGTCCTTGGATAACAGGTATCTTTACACACCTGCAAATAATTGGAGATACCAAGTCTCTTGCAATAAAGGGAGAAGTCTTTGGATATGTATGAGGCTATTGGAAGACAGGAAGAATGCAAGGGGAAAACAAGTATTATTTGATGAGGGGAAGCTTTTAGGCATATTGCTTCTGAATAAGTTCTTTTTCAATATATGAGATGACTGACTGTGTACACAAGGAAAGCAGTGGCTACTGTTTATCTTGTGTTAGGGCATCTAGTCTGTCCCTTTTGGCACTGCACTGGGTCCAACAACCAGGGAAGCAAATTGCTCGCATGGGGTACAGTCAGTATAGGTTTGCTGCCCTACTGTTGGCCACACCGATAAGGTGCAGGGCTCTTCAATGGTTCATCAGGGTCTTGAGTGCACCAATGGGATCTGCAATGTTTTCCTTCATCTCTCCTCTCAAGGCTTTGGCTGCCAGTGCTCAAAGCCAACTCTGATTTAATGCAGCTGTGGAATCTTAGATCAGATTGCTGGGAAAGATCTGGATGACAATTTTGAAAGAAGCGAGGTTCTTGCCTCCCATTGTTTGGAGCAGCATCGAGGATTTCTTGCCCAAGCTGTATTGTCAATATATCTGTGCCTGATCATGTACTCTGTTCATCCTGATCCTGACCCACAGTCCTGATTTTCCAGCTTGATCTCAGATCTGCCTTTTCGCCATGGACATATCTGGTGATCTGGATGCTTGGCTGGTTATTGTCCCTAGTTCTGCTTTGCTATTCTTGTTGAGGTTCTGTGGGACTACCTTTGTCAGTGAGGGCATAGTCCTGCCAGCTTTGTCTCAACTCCCAGTTCTCCTTCCTATCTGCAACAGAACTATCCTTGCTTCTCTTTAACATCACTCTAAGACAGCCCAAGCAAATGGGGCTTTTCAATATTCTCTTTTTTTTTTTCCTTTTTCTCAACAAACAACCTGTCGTTTTTACTCTTTCTTTGCTTAACTGGTTTTGCAGATTTTTCGCACTTATATGGTAATTTTGGTCTTAGGCATTGACCCCGGTAAACCTGAGCTTCCCTGTCTTTTGACATCTTCCACCCAGAAGCAGTCACAGAGTCATAGAATGTTTGGGGATTTTAAAGATCATCTAGTTACAACCCTGCTGCCATGGGCGGGTATACCTTCAGCTGGATCAGGTTGCTTAAAGCCCCATTCAAATTGGCCTTTAACATTTCCAGAGATGGGATATCCACAACTTCTCTGGGTAACCTGTGTCAGTACCTCGCCACCCTCACAGTAAGGAATTTCTTCCTAATATTTAATCTAAACCTGGTATTCTTTTTCACCATTCATAATGTATTGTAATTTCTCACATTCATTCTTATTTGTTTAGCCTCAAGTTGCGGTACACAAACCCCTTTCCAATTTTTTTGGGTTTGCAGTGCCCAACAGCTTCTCACACTTCTATCTCACTCATTGGATTTGGGACTGAAGCTGGCTCCCTGCCTGTATACTTCAATAACTTCCTTAAGAAATGGTTTTAACATAGCCTTTCACCATGTACTTAGAGTCAAGTTTGTGAGAAATAAGATGTGTTGAAAATTCACTGTATCTCTGTGCTCAAACTGTGGTGATCAACCATGGAAAATTTGACAGACACCTGGCTATTTATTGTTGCTCTCTCCGGTAGAGACTGAAGGCACTTCTATTTAATGGGTTTTTTTAGTTAATGACTGGATGATACATTAACATTACACTCCACACATTTCCGGCCAATACCAAACTGTCTAATCATCAGAGGGCAGAGCTGGAATGAGGATGTAAG